TTCTATTTCTTTATGCCTTTGCCAACTCTAAATAGATTCAGTATTTTCCATTTTAATAGGCAGTAGTAATATCTCATTTTAATTTTCATTGTGGTTGGGGTTGAGTGACTTTTCAAAGGTTAGTTTTCCATTTGTATTTTTCCCCTCTAAATAATCCACTCTAGTACCTTGATCATTTTTCTTTGGAAGATTGATCCCTCATTGATTTCAGGGTGTTTTTTGTATGTTAAGAACTAGTCTTGATAGTTAAGTCATTACACACTGGTGCTGCATGTTGACAAGCATCTATTTCTATTAAGTGTAAAATATATTCAAATTCTCCTTTCATTTTAATATCAAAACACTTTGTTGTGATGAAAGTATTTTGTAAACGTATTTTGTATTTATCCTTGTTTGTGGCATCTTTTGATCTCTTGGACTTTAAAATTTTAATTTTAATTCAATCTTTATGACTTTTGACTTTTATGCCATGCAGGAAATCATGCCACATTCCAATATTCCAAAAATATTCACTCATGCTTTCTTATGGTACTTTAGTGGCTTCATTTATTATAATTTAATATTTTGTCTGCCTATGGTTTGTTTTGCTGACTCTGGGGTAATTATAAAGAATATAATTGACCCCCCCATCCATGGGAGATATTTTACAAGACCCCCAGTAGATGCCTGAAATGATAGACAGTACTGAATACTGTATACAAGCACTGTCACTACTGGGAAAGTTGGTCTGACAACCAAGACAGCTACTAAGTGACTAACAGGCAGGGAGTGTATACAGAATAGATATAATGGAAAAACAAAAATGTGCTAAGTATGTGAATAATTAATTCAGTGATGCATATAGTTAAGCTTAAAATACCATGTAGATATCTCATGAGCTCCAGACCTGAACAGTAAGTCACTTTGGGGATATATTTACTCAAGAACACTTGAGTTAGATGGTTCATGCTCAGGGCAGACAGAGCCAGATGGCAATAGCTCTCATCTCACAACTCAGGAGGGTTCATAATTTAAAACTTAAATTTTTTTTTTCCTGGAAGTTTTCATGCAGTGTTTTTGGACAAGTAACCAAAGCTATGGAAAGTGAAACCTCTGGTAAGGGGGGTGGGGGTGGGGGGACTTAAGGAAAAATAATACAGGGTTGAGGTGTAGCTTATTATTCTCATTAAAAATCACCTTGTGGAATCCTTGAAACCAATTGTGATATACTATAGAAGGAGCTTCATGTTGAATCGAAGCCTGAGATTTATCTGAATTCACTTTTGACTTTGATAATGATTTTCAATACTTAAAATGGTTCTCTTTTTATTTCTTTCTTTTTTTCTTTTTCTTTTTTTGTTTACATAACACACAAGTTTATGATTTAGCTCTTTTTTCATGATTAGCAAAATTCTTGTAGCTTCCTCTTCCTTTTCCTGGTCTAAAAATGATGACATTTTTCAGAGTTCTTGTTTCTCCATATTGTGCTTCTTGCTTGGTTTTACTTATGCCTCCAGCTTTAGGTATAATTTATGCCTAAGACATGAAAAATATATCCCAAAAGTGGTTTACTCTATGGGTCTGGAGTTCATGAGGTATACATGTTGCGTTATTTAACTCTAAAGTTATACTTAACTTTATGCATCACTGAGTTAATTGTTCACATATTTAGCCAAGTTTTCTCTTGCTCTGTTCAATTTTCTTTCTATCTCCTTCCCTCTTTCCTTCTTCCCTCTTTATTCTGTTGATTTCAGGATGTTCTTTGTATATGAGGGACTAAGATGATAATCATTCAGTAAATATCAGTACAGCATCCCAAAGTGCCCATTTTGCCTAGTGTTCACTTTATTACTTGTCTAATTCCAAAATATGGATGCAAGATATTAGTTCCCCATTCCTTAAATTTTATATCAAGGTTAGTCATGAATTTCTGTTCATCCTGCTTCATCCTCATCTTCTTGCCACAGTTCTTTACTGCATATACATCCTAAACCTTCCAGTTCAACTCATCTTAATTTCCCCTCTGAATTATTGTCCTAGTCTGCTACTAGCTTTGCCTGTTCCTCCCTAAATTATTGTCCACAATTCTTTAATTTTTTAAGCACATTCTTCTCACATGAGGTTTCAAATGTTTTCATGTCAGAAAGGTAAGAATGTTACCTCTTCTTATTTCTGGAGGTTTGGTGG